TATTTCCTTGAAAATATTACAAATCGATGTTCTTCCACTGTTAGACCCTTCTTTTATTTTTTTTCAAAGAGTTCCGTTCATAGCAGTTTCAATTTCTTCCCCATTTGCACTTTCGAAACTAACTATAAATGTCTTTCTTTCCTGTCCTCTACGTATATTCAAAATTTTGTCTTCGTCTGTTTCACTGTCAAATAAGTCACAATAATTTTCTGCAGTATCATCATCAATACCGTAAACTTCTTGATCATCTTCCGAACAATCCCCGTCGATGTTATTTATTTTGTCTAATAAGTTGATATTCCACGAATGTCGGACACATTGATTAGATTGTAGATTGTCTACAATTACATTGCAGACTCCTAAAACAATTTCAAGAACAAGATTATCGAAGAATATAGTCATAAATAACATAAATTTTTCAAGCGGTCAAATGACCGCGCCCGGTCGACTAGACATGGTATAATTTTTTTTCGGAAAATACACATTAAAAAAAGTTGTAAATATTGAAAAATTGTTTGTATGTATATTTCAGGAAAAGTCAATAAGATGCATGATGATACGATAACGTTTTATGTGAGAAATTTTAAACGAAAGTTTAAAAACGGTCATTTGACCGCGCGCGGTACGTTTAGTGTTAAGCATCTCCAATAGTGATTACCTGTAATCCGAATAATTTGACTAAAATTTTTGCTTAGCATCAAAATTATTACACAGGGACAGGGCCATTATTATCTATCCCTACGAGTTTCGATGATGAATAATGTAGCACACAATTATCTTTGTCTCAGTGATTTCTTGAAACTGAACCTTTTTGAAATTCGTAAATGAATCTTCTAATCAAATGATTTTTGATAGCATTTCAGAAATTTGTCTAGTGTTCCTAAATTTTTCAAGCCCTTCGAGAAGCGATCGTTTATCATACTGTATCATACTATTTCAAACTTATTATATGTACCCTATTAACTATAGCTTTACGACTCGAACAGCCCTTAGCTGTTCTTAGAAAACATTATACGTGGAGAGCTCACTTTCTTGTACCGCTCTCTGCATCGCAACTGCGTAAAATTCATTAAAAGAATGTTAGCAGAATGTAAATACATACGTTTTACTTTATAATGGCAGAAATTAGGAATACGAATGTAACATTTTTGCTTTCCAAGCAATTTTGTAGTTCACTATTTGCACACCTATTATTCAGGTGAGAAGGAAGATGGGAGGTTGTTTGTAAGAACTAAAAATACTAATTAAATTAAATTATAATCTAGCATACAAAAGGAATTTTAAGCCGATTTAATTTGATTTGTTCGCCCACCTGCATGTGTATTTAGAAAATTTACTATAAAGTCTGAGATTTTCTGTAAGCAATTTTGTTTCAATTTCATGTGTCAAGTTGGAGTTCGAATGACAACTTTCCATAAATATGTCTTCAGTCGTCCGGAAGGAAGCTATGGGTATTTTTAATATTATTTTTAATATTATTAATATTTAATATGGGTATATTTAATATTTAATATGGGTATTTTAATATTAATAATATGGGTATTTTAATATTTTTAATAATTTCGTCTACAAATCGAAATGTGAGCAGTTTCTTTTTAAAATTTTTAAATTTTATCTGAGATTCGCCGAGGAGCGACAAATTCTTCCAGTTTTTGTATTTACTTCGCTTCTCCCTTCATTTCCCTTCAAAGTGTAACATTTCAGCAGTTTTACAGTTCTTTCAAGAGAAAAGGTAAGTCTACTAATTTTCACTTTTGCAGACCGCAACCCACTAAAGCCAGCAACAGTTATGATGTTCTTCATCATGCTTTTTTTTTGATATGCAATGATGTTGAATATATGATAGGTTCCCATGGTTATGAGCATAGACGTTATCAAACAATGTCTAGAATTATAATCATAAATATTCATGTAGGGTTTCAAAAAAAGAAGAAAACAAGATGAAATGAAAAGACGAGATAACCACTGGGTCTTCCCATTACCGTTTAGTTAGGTAAACATGTGAAATTCTTCTTCTAGTCAGCTATGACTTTAACTAACCATATAACAACAAGCAAACAAACTTAGACAACGATACGCTAAATAACTACATAAGGACGAGAGCACACATACAAGGACATAATTATATGCTCTTAAGGATTTCTTAAATATTTTATAAAGGCTTCATTCGTTTCTTCACAGACAGATGCCTACTATTGCTTCAACGGCTTTTACATTCTTCTGTATATTTAAACACATACATATATGCTTAATGTACATATAATCACGTATAAACGGTTGCAGAACGTCTGACTATTTTCTTTGCAAAAGTTGGAGAACTGGGGATAAAATACTTCTACCATGGCATCTGTCATTGCCATGAGTTATATGTGTCAAGGACAAGAATAAACAAATATTTATGTGCATCATGCGTTATGTCCACAACATATCAGAATTGCAAAATTTTTACCTATATCCCGCAAATACTTAGTCAACAACTTTAGTCAAGTTTTCATATAAGACGTTGTTTGCAAGAATGAAGACAATTGATTTCTTTTTCTTCTTACTTCTAAACGTCCCATACCTGCAACACATAAGTTATTTAATAGTCCCTGACTCACGTCAAAATTCTCTCGTATTTCGCCTCATTTCGTCAATGCTCGCTATACTGTCCGACCGGCAGCAAACCTAAGGTAGCCTTTAAATATTCGAAAATACAATCTAAATGCTTAATATCATATATGTATTCACTAAAAGTGGGGTGACTTTTCTGAACTCGCTTTAAAAACTGAATAAGAACTGATTCGGGTGTCTGTATTTGAAAGCACAGATGTACGTAAATATTTTTTTACAGACTGGTGAACAATAAAACGAAGTCGTTGTATCTTTAGTTGAAAATTCTTTTGCATTTAAAAGAAAGAGACAAAAACAAGTCTCAAAGTCAAGTTATGAGGATTTTGCGATATGGAAAAAAAGTCACAAAGTGGCTATAAACTGGCACTTTTGATTAAGCAATATTCTCTTAGGTCCAGGAAATTTATTGGAAACACACAACTTTAATTAGATTAGTTATGACGTCCGCAATAAAAGCCGGAAAAGAAGCATATTCGAGCATATTTAGTGCAGACTAGGTTAGTGAAAATGAGCAGCATACCGTTCTTTTTCAGTCTGTTTGCTCATAAACGTACGTCAATTACTCGAACCATATTTTGTCTGCTCTCTAAAATTTACCCAAACCGAATCGGACCGGTGGCAAAAAAATAGAAAGTTTACAATAATAGCACTGTTTTTATTGAGTTCCGTACAGAGTTTCTACGAAGAACCCAACAAAAACGCCGTAGAACTCCTGCAGAATTAATATCTCTTTCTTGATTTTATTGCCGCAGAATAAATTTAATTTCATTATAGCCGTTAATACAATAAAATAAATTTCAATATAAACACAAATAACAAAATGATGTACTCTAAAGGAAATTCGTTTCCTCCTATTTAAGGGAAAAAAATCGAAGTTCTTTTTAGACCAATTAGATAGAAGTGGTTATATATAATTAGATATTTGAGCACTTGAGGCTCAAACAACTGTAAGGAACAAATTTTCACCCAGGCTCACTCTCCGGTGATGCAAATGGTTCTTTATAAAAAATTTGCGTTTCTAGCGGGTTAACGGATTAAAAACGAAGCCATGAACTTAGCTAATAGTAATATGCTTGTAGATATGTACATATACATATTATTTGCGAAAATTAGAGTCAGTCGGACAAGAGTCAAAAAAAGATGTTAGGGTTGAGAAGTTGAAAGTAAAAAGTAAATAGTCCTACCGTTAAACAAAATGGGTGTCAATAAAAGAGTCTTATCGTGGAAACGTGCAAGTGTAATTCTCTTAAAAAGAATATCCATGATCTAGTGATACGGAACGTATTCAAATTTCAGTTATATTTAGTATATTTTATTTGATTTAGACTTAGCTTGTCCACTCGATCCACAAGTGGGTTATAACCAAAACTATTTTTTGCTTATGCTTTAAAACTAAATTTGTGACAGAAGCGTAGTAACTCTCCGATTACACTGGCTCCGTCATTACTCCGCAGAATATCACTCTTGCTTTTTATTTTTAATCTTGACGTAGGTATGTGTTTTCCCGTACGTGTTTCGATGAGCTCACTTGTACAATCGGAAAGAAAAGAATAACCTCGAGCGATGTTATCATTCTGGCTACAATACACACGCGAAGGAAATAGGTGTAAATTGCTTTAGTCGATACCTCTTGTAGCTCATTATCGGCATTGACGATTTGTCAACCTTTGGTTCAAAGTTTATTTCGTAAACCGCCACTCCGGGTCATCGTTGGCCATACCGTGCGGTGTGCCGGGTGGCAATATGATCCTACTTGCAACCAGTTGACTTACACCTACTCTTAATAAGTAGAATGATTTGCACTAAACTTAAATATATGTGTGAGGCCAAAATGAGAGATGATTTTGGTCCTTACGCAGAGTCTATGTTATTATCTGGCAGTTTATTTTTAAAAAAATGGCTGTCTAAATTTTCCATTCCGTATAACAAATGACTAATCTTTGTTGAATGTTTTGAAAACATCAAGTTGTATTCATATAACGAATTTTTGAAATTAGGTTTTTATATGCAGGGTTTTTCAATATCGTCTTCTTTGAGTCGAATCATGTCACTGTACTCCTTAAGCTCAAGCCGTGAACGGACAAACATTCATGCATAGACATCACACAAAAGATAGACAGACATGTTCAACTTGCTTCCGAAGATTTGTTTATATTTCCATGATAAAAGATGGGCATTATTTGCCGCGGTTGAAAAATCCGTTTAAATAGTGTGCAGTTCTTTTAATTGTTTCATTATAACTTTTGAATTTAGTTCGTTTCATTATAACTTTTGAATTTAGTTTAGGTCTTTTTCGTTTTCAAGTTTTTGGAAATTTTTCCATTTAGCCTTCTTTTTTTGTGTTATTATTCATACATTTTTATTAATTTTGCTTATGGCATACTCACCGATATGAAAACTTCTTCTGCTTGTTGTAGTATAGCTATACGTGACCAGCCAAATTTTTTCATTAATTTTATTCTAGTTGGATTATGTACAGTGGCTGAGGGATGAGTACGAAATAACGTAGGAAAACGACTACGATCCGATAAGGCCGGACTTGATGCACCATAACATAACTGGAATACGTACATAAAACGCAAAGAATAAAGAATGATTAATAATGTCATATACATATGTGTATAAAGAATTTTTGCCTGAGGCGTATACAACTTTTTTATTTCAATCCCCTGGCAATGCAAATAAACTTTTTCAATTTATTATATAAAATTCATTCTAAAGTAAAAACACTGTATAAAGATATTAAGTGGATATTGAGATATCGGTGTAAACATAGATATGAAAGAACAAAACATTATGATTATAACATTTAATAAAGGACAGACTGGCAAATGACTAATATGCCGTTAAAGAAAGCAATTGAAAAAGTCAGGAGCCGAACTTTCGATACCCAACATGCCCGTCAAATGTATCAAGTTCGCAAATTTTTTTTCTTAATTGAAAACATATCAGTTGGTTTATCAAACTATTTTCTGTTCATTCTTCGGTGATGGGTATAAAAAATCAATCTAAATGTACTCGTCCGTAATGTGGCCCTTACTCCGGTTTCATGCTCTATCTTGTTGGCGATATATTTACATTTCTCATTAAATTTATTTTTTATCTTTTCTGTCTCTAAAGTTCTCTTTATAAAATTTTGCTTATTTTCTATTTATTGCAAAAGCTCTCTTTTATGTAAACGAGAAAACTAGTCGATGATACTCGAGATGATGATTGTTTACTTGTTTAAATTTGGTTTTGTTTTTGCTTTTTATTTCTTGTCTATACTCGTCATGAAGGATGATTCATTTGTCAAAACGTTTGCAACGCCCAAAAGGAAGCAGGCGTAGTTGCTGTAGTAACTTTATAAAAATAGAAAAAACTGACCTCGCCCACCCAGTACAATAACGTATCAAAATTTAATTTTTTTATTAATAACCTTCATACGGCGCAGAAACAATTTTCAAAAAGTCCATAAAGTACATAAATTCTTAGCCAGTTTCAAATTTGAATACACGAAAACATGTGTATCTGTTCGTCTGTCCATCTGTCTGTCTGTCTGCACAACTGCGCAATGTTTGTGACAAACATTCTCTCGTTAGCGAAAATGAAGATGTCGGCTATAAACCTGCAAAAGGATTTGGAAATGACATAAATTTTTCCAAAGACACGCTCTCAACGCCCACAGGTCTAATCTTTTATTTTGAAAATAAAAAATTCAGGTTCGCCCACTCTGTAAATTTAGGTCTTTCACATTTTTTGTTTTTTAGGATAACGGTGAAAGGTGTAAAAGTTTCGAACATAATTTTTCTACTTGTTTTTTATATTCGACGTTTAAATTAGTTATTGCATCTTTCAAAAGTGAAAATAACAATAAGTATGCAACCCCTACAAAGTAAAAATAACTATGAATTTATTCCTTCCTCCAAAACGGTATGTTTTTTGTCCGAAATTGTTTATTGCATTTCTTTTTTATAATTTTCTCTACAATTCGAATTAGCAGACCCCTGCAGAGTCTTGGTGCACAGCAGAGGGTGCCTATTATGAAAAATGACATTTCAGATCTTTGTATTTTGTCAACATTGCAAGTGGAATTCGAGAGCGCATGTCCAAGTGGGTCCCATAACTCATTTGCAGAACTTGGATTTGCTTTGAATTTACTCTTAAGGGCCAACGAAATCTGAGCTAATGTAGTGTGTCCTGTTGAGAAATTGCTCCGTTGTAGTTGAAGGACCGCACGCACACAATTAAAAGGTTCTCCTTTATTTCAAACTGTTTTCGCAAATTGGGATTATGTTGGACAAGTGCGTACCAATGATGGCCCTGTCACCTAAATTATTATATATACCAGCGCTATAAAATGTAGGCGTATCGACTGTGTACTTCAATGGAAAATTCTTGATTTGCTCTAGAGTACCACGTCATAAATTTTTATGCATTATCACTTTTGGTGGCGTTTCCTGCACATAATGTTCGTAAAGGTCAAGGGAAACTATTCAAGGAGCGGCTTAGTTAAGAAATCCAACAAATTCTATTGAACGTTAACCGAGCAACTGCATATCCGTTATTAAGAGAAAAAAGTTATCTGTTATCATTTATTACTTCAGATTTAGAGCTACGTATTTTTGATTGTTGTCCTACCAAATTTTATAAGTTTGTGTATATTTTATTATTATTATATTTTTGGTCTTAAAATGTTTCACAATTTAAACAAATTGCTGTAGAATACTTTCACATATATTAAAAACTTTACTTACCACTATTAAATTCCACATCTTAGCTGCTTCAGCAACCGTTGTACATACTGTGCTACAACCAGCTAAAAGCATTAGTTTTTGTGGCTTATTATAAAGAAGATTATACATCACGCTGGCACCTAAACCAGGTTCACACTGTAATCAAAAGAAATATATATGTAATATATATGTGCAAAAAGCATATACAGCAAAAGATCCTTATTCGAACTTCCTTTATTCCTGGTTTAACTATTTGCGGATTAAAAAAATATGACCCAATTCCCATATTCGCGGCAATAAATTTCTTTATTCGCAGCTTTTTGGTGACTGGTTCCGGAATTGTTTTGTCTCTGAAGTTGAAACTTATTTAAAAAAACAGAATTTAGACTTTAAAGCACATCTAGTTTTGGACAATGCGCAGGACAGGTCGTCCTCGCGAACTTGAAACTATGCATCCAAACATAAAAGTGACATTTTTACCTCCCAACACGAAGGCTTTGCTACAACCTATGGGCCAAGGAATAATCCAGGCCTTTAAACTCTATTACATTAGATGAACCTTCAAAATCATATTGCATAATATGGAATGCAATCCTGATATGAATGTTATGGAATGCAGGAAGAAATTTGACGTAGCAAAATGCATCGTAAACATGAAAGAATCATTGGAAGAACTGAAGCCACACACATTGAAGTCATGCTGGAAAAAACTGTGGCCTGCTCTGACTGCGGAAAATGACGAAGAATCTGTGTAAGTTCAAACTTTGACTGCAAACTTAGCCGAAATCGTGAATGGAATAGGACGAGATTTATTTTATTTATTTATTTATTTATTCTACTTATACTAGAAACTCAACTAAACAAATAACAGTCGAGTTCAATTGGCTCTTAATGCAAAACTTATATTAATTAATAATAAAATTTAGTATAAGTATAATAAAACAAAAAAGAACAAAAAAAAGGAAAAAAAAAAGAAAAAAAAGCATGTACACTATCAGCATAGGGACACACTTACAACCGGTACAGGACCAAATTGTAAATGAACCCCTAAACCATCGCAAACATGCATAAGCCTGGCAACCGATAATAAATTGCCAACAATTCATTTTCGAAACGTAACGATTTTTTGTAGGATAAAAGCTAATTTAAATACGACATTGGTAAATCGCGCGTATTAAGCAATGTTGCTTTAATGTACTTTAAAGAGTCCGATAACGAGAATAAGTGGTAGACTTCATTTAGATTCTTGCAAACGACTCTGAGCGGATTGAACAGCTCATAATTAAACTTACACTGACTAAGCTTAACCAAGATAAAGTGCCTGGAGAAGCGGTTAGGGACATTAAAGCTTATTTCACCAAGTAATGAAGGCGAGTCAATAGCACCATTTATTACTTTAATTAGAAAGGAAACGCCAAGAACAAATCTACGTTTCTCAAGAGACGGTAGGGACAGCAGAAGCAACCTACTTTCATACGGAGGAAAAGAGGCAATCGGATCCCAACCCAAATTTCTAAGGGCAAACAACAAGAATTGCTTTTGAACAGATTCGATTGAATCTACGTAGCACCTATATGAAGGAGACCACACAACTGAGGCATACTCGAGTATGGGTCTAACCAAACACATGTACAGCCTTTTCATAATGTAGGGATCATCAAGCTCTTTGGACCACCTTTTTATAAAACCAAGCGCGAACCTAGCTTTGCTAATCGAGAGCCCAATATGCGAGTTAAAACGTAACCTATGGTCAAATAGAACGCCTAAATCTGTAATTGAATTGACGTCCTCCAACTTATGCGAATCTATGAAATACTGACTAATGAATGACTTTCTTTTTGAGAATGAAAGCTTCTTACATTTACTCAGATTTAGTTTCAGGAGATTCAAAGAGCACCGTGCAACAAAATTATCCAAAACACCTTGAAGCTGATGTGATTGCGATTCAAGAGAAGGAAGTAAACAGTTTCACATCATCAGCATACATTAAGATCTCGCTGGAATTAACCACCGATGGGAGATCGTTAATATATAAACTAAATAAAATGGGACGTAAGTGACTTCCCTGAGGTACGCCAGACGTAACGGGGAATTCATCCGAGGTAATGAAGTTAAACAAAACCCTGAAGGATCTATTGTGCAGATAAGAGCTTATCCATTTCACTAAGTAGGGTGGGAAACCAGAAGCTTGGAGTTTAAAGATAAGTAGTCTATGGTTAACCATATCAAACGCTTTGCTTAAATCAGTGTAAATAACATCTGTGCGAGAGCCGCTAGAAAAAGCCTTGAAAACATGACAGGTAAACTCTAACAAGTTGGTGACTGTAGATCGCCCTTTACGAAAGCCGTGCTGGTGCGGAGAAATATACGAATTAATGGCAAAGGCCAAATTCTGAGTCACAATACGCTCGAACAACTTGGGCAAAACACTCAACTTGGCTATGCCTCTGTAGTTCTCAACAAATTGTCTACTTCCACTCTTGTGGATAGGAATAAGGAAACTACTCTTCCAACATGAAGGGAAAACACCTAAATAGAAGGACATGTTAAAAATCTTTGAGATCACACCACATAACTCGACAGCGCAAAATTTAAGTACACATGATGGAATTCCATCAGGTCCAGGCGAACAACTGTATTTTAGAGAACTTTTTCCCCTTTACCCTTTAAAAACGTCATCTTCCGAAATAACCAAGTTAGGTATTGAAACCGAGTATAGGATATGGGTGGTTTGCTGATAAATCGAAATTAGCAATCGAAAAGTTTCGTCGGAAATACTCAGCAAATAGATTTGAGATTTCAAAATCATCCGAGGAACCAGAGCCATTAAAAGAAACATGAGAGAGATATGTGGAAATTTTTCTTTTAGAGTTAACAAATTTAAAGAAGAATTTAGGATTAGCAAACAGAGAGGATTTAATGAACTGAAGGTATCTGCAGTAATAATGATGGTTGAGGGAGTTAAATCTATGCCTCGCCACCGAGTAAGCGACATAGTCGAGCGCAGAGCCACTTTTCGAATATTTTTTGAAAAGCGAGTTTTTTCTATTCTTGTGATATTTAATTGTCTTATTAAACCACGGAGGACACCTGCTTCAAGGTCGACAGTGCTTGATCGGAACAGGTGCAGCAATAGCTGCATCTGCTAGATGGGTTCGAACACATAGAATCAAGTAACATTCAGGAATTGCTTGAATCACAAGATGAAGATTTGATTGAAACAGACTTGGAGGAAATGTTAAATTCGTCGCCCATTGAAGAAGAGACCTCAACAAGCACTGGAAACATGACATTTTATGTGAAAAGTCATAGTGTAGGTTTAAGAATGGCAAATGAGCTTGGCGATTTCTTTATGAACACTGATCCGTCTATGAAACGAAGTCTTATCTTTAAGAGGCAAATTGCTAACGCGTCTGCTGCGTATCAATCTGAATTGAAGGAACTTTTAAAAACTGCCAAACAACAAAAATTCATACAAAATTCTTCAAACTGCCTAAGCCTTAAAATAATTAATTAAAATGTTCAAATACTTCAATTAAATTGATTTTTTTATATATTCGATTTTTTTTTATTATGTCACTTAGGAACGTGTCCCCAATAATCCCATATAAATTACCATTCCGTATTCACGGTTTCTTTTTTTATTTTGTCACCTAGGAACGTATCCCCTATAATCCCATATAAATTGCCATTCCGTATTCACGGTTTCTGTATTTGCGGCATTTTTATGGAACGTATACCCCGCGAAGAAGGAGCTTTTATTGTATATTTAAAAATACATACCTATAAAATATAAAATAAATTATGTGTAAAATATAGTGTATATAATACTAGTTGTGTCAAGCGAAAAATAACAGCGCATATATAATTAAAACTGGCAAATATTGCTAGTTATACTTAACTATAACTTCAAACCTTTTGTATAACATATTACTAGAGCGCTACGTTAAGGGACCATGTAGTTGTGATGGAATTACTATACGATTCAGACAACAGGGCGTCATTCTCGTTTTCGGGTTAAAACCTCCCAAGTGGCAGCCGCGCTGTCATATTGTTTTACAGGAAAAAGTAAACAAACCCATATGATTTCAGAAGCAAACAAACGTAAATGTTGCTTGTTTATTGATTAATGATAAATTATGTATGCCAATAATAATAAAATCAAAAAATGCAATTAAAAATATTATATTCGTCTGTGGCTGAATCTGTTACACACACACCTGCCGCCTTTACTTAAAAAAAGACTAAGAATACAATTTTTTCCGAATATAAGGGAAAATTTTAGTCGTGCGGCTTTTGTCATTCGTTAGTAATGAGCAAAAAACACAAAAATGGGAGATGTTCTTAGTTCAGGTTGAATTGTAAGCGTAAGTTTTGACGGTTTAACTCGTTTTCGAGAATGTTTCAATGTTTTTGCTAAATTTGAAGGCGAGATTTCAGACACTGCGTAAACGAGAAGGCGTCATAAATGCTTTCATCGACTCAATTTAATGCCGACCAAGAATGTATATACTCTATGAGGCCTTGACAAAATGTATGTAACAACTTCCTTCGGTGTGTTTTAAAGATGAAACAAATTTCCGCAAATTCTCGCAAACTTTAGGTTTGTTTGACCAACAGAGTAAAGCTTCGCGCGTTCGCAAAAAACATCGTGCTGTGTACAGTGCTGGTGTACTTTCGATGTCGAAGAAGCATCCGATCGACCAATTGTTGATAAAGTCAACGAACCTTTTTGTGAGGAAAACAGACTTATGTAGTCTGATGGCGTCGTTGCGGAACGAAACTAAAAAACAATTTTAAGCCACTGACGTAAGAGTAGATTCTAGAAAGCAATAATGTGCGAAAAAAATCTTTACTGCAGTTGGATAGAGATATAATAAAGTGCGGAATGACGCCAACTGTAAGGTAATGGTTTCCTTGGTTAATCGTACATCGTTAGCTGGTTCAGTAAGTGAAGTGAGGAAATTGAGGAAAAGCGTACAGAATTTACCAACAAAAAAAGCCATCACGACGATGACGACCCACATTTCTGATAACATTTCTCATAACTATCGCAAGCTGAGGACAAGCGCGTGCGAATTTTCGATGCGTCTATCATGCAATTCGGATCTTGCCTCGTTTGACTACCATTTGCTCTGTTCTTAAGAAAACTCTCT